ACCCCTGGGGATCCACCAAGACCTTCTCAAAGGAGCACAAAAATCAAAATTATTTTCCAAATATTTGCAAAAATGTTAAAAAATCTCACTCTTTTCATTGTCACTTGCTAAAAAAGTATTGAGTTTTTTTCATGAAAAATATTTAGATTTAATAGTTATTTTGAATAATAAATATTCTACAGATATCAGTTTGAATTTTTAATACGGTACTGTAAATATTGATAAATTTAACCTGCGCGGACAAGAGCTCTGTAGGGTCCTCAATAATTTTTAAAAGTTAATTAGGGTCCTGAGAAGAAAGAGTTTCAGAAACATTGCACTTAGGTATAAGTAGGAAAGGAGATAAAGCACAATCAGACTAAGTGGCTATGTCTATTTGAGCCCTTGAATCCAGAGGCACTCCATTGTTGATTCTCAATGGGGTATTAGTCTCATGAGATAGACCAGACAGAAACATGACCAAATGAACTAATTCTACTTTATTGTAAGATTACATTAATAGAAACTTGCAAGTCTGAAAATACTTCCTTACCCTGTCCCCTTTATAGCCCCAAATAGCAATAGCACTTAGACTTATATATTGTTTCATAGTGCTTTACAGCCCTCTCTAAGTGGTTTGCAGAGTCAGCATATTGCTCCAAACACTCTGGGTCCTCATTTTACCAACCTCAGAAGAATGGAAGGCTGAGTCAACCTTGAGCCGGTCAGGATCGAACTGCTGAACTGCTGGCAGTCAGCAGGCAGCAGAATTCGTCTGTAATACTGCATTCTAACTGTGACATCACTTGGGAAGGTCCCTTTGAGGCTCTTGCCCCACCCACATTCCTGATGTAGGCTAAACTGCCTTGTATCTGCATTGTTGCCTTGTCTTCCAAAGTCATTCCAACATACCATTACAGGATACACTTCCACATTTGAGACATGTGCAGTCTGGGGATCCTCTTGGATTCTCAGTTCCTACTTATAGAGCAGGTGGCAGCTCTGGCCAAGAGGGTCTTTCACAAGTACAGCTAATATACATGTTGCCCTAGTCACCATTGGATTACTCGTTCTACCTAGGGCTACCCTTGAAGATCATTTGGAAGCTACAGCTGTGGCAAAATGTGGCAATGTATGAAGTGTTGAGGACACCCCACTGTTTCATGAGCTACAGTGGTTTGCAGTTTACTCCTTGGATGTAATTCAAATTTATCACCTTTAACGCCCTTCGTGGCATAGGATCTTGCTACCTGAGGGACTGTCTATCTGCAGTTTTCTCTGCCTGTTACGTAAGGTCAAACAGGGTGGATAATTCGTCCCATCAATTAAAGAATATCATTTTGCGGGACCCAGGAAGCATGCCTGCTATGTTGCAATTCCTTCCCTCTGGAATGATCTTACCTCCAAAATTAATGTGATTCCTCCTCCAATGTTGTTGAAGAAATTATTAAAATCTTGATTATTCTCCCCAGGCCTTGAGAATAGGGTGGATATGGAGCCTGGCTTGGATTGCTTTGGGTATTTTACTCTTCTGATTGGTGTATTCTTATATGTTGGTTGTTGTTACAGACATTTAGAAATTGGGTGGTAAAAGAATGTTTATTGGGAAAACAGTATATGAGTTGTCAGCTTATTCACAATGTTTCAGGCAATAGAGAATGAAAATCATCAGTCATTTATCTGTTTAGCTGGGGTGATAGTTTGACTTGAATCCAAAATATATTTTTTTTTTATAAAGAAATGCACTTTGTATGTATCCCCCAAATATTTGTTTGCATAAATCAGGGGCTTTGCAGCAGAGATCAACTTTCAGTATGTAGGAAAGACTGCCATAAAATCGCTACATATCTCTTAATTGTTTATGTTCCTACTGGTGCCTGACAGTTGGTGACATAGCCCACATAGCTGTCTCTTCATTCTAGCACAGACATGTCAAACACAAGGCGCGGGGGCCGGATGCGGCCTGCGAAGTGGTTTCATGTGGTCCATGAAGCCATCCTGGAAACAGTGAGGGAATAGCCCCCGCTGCCTTGGCCCTGACCCAGGTCGGCTGGGAGCCAATGTACAATTTTGTGGTGGCCATCTATGCTGAAACGCATTCAGTCTTAGCTCCACAAGACCGTCTGGGAACAGCGAGGAACCAGCCCCTGCCACGTCAGCCCCGCCCCCTGGGTGCATGCTGGGGAGGTGTCACCGTTTGTGAGGAATGAAGAAATGCACCATCGCCTGGAAGTGGCCAGCAAATGGCCCTCGCCTACTTCACATATCCGGCTTGATGGACTCTGGGGGAGGGTTTCAGCAGGCAGCAGGGCGCTCTCCTCATAGCGCCAAGAGGCTGAGCTGGGCGGCGCAAATCCAAAAAGAAGCACGATGACGCCCATCCTGCCCAGTTTCGGCAGGTAGCGGGGCACTCTCCTCACAGCGCCAAGAGCTGAGCCGGGTGGCGCGAAACTGATGAGAAGTGCAATGCTGCCTAGCCCCCAGCCTGCCCAGTTTCAGCAGGCAGCAAGGTGCAAAGTTGGCGAGCTTCGCACCGCCCGGCTCAACCTCTCAGCGCTGTAAGAGCACCCCGCTGTCTGCCAAAACCGGGCATGCACCCAGAGGGTGGGGCTGACGCGGCAGGGGCTGGTTCATCGCTGTTTCCAGACGGCCTTGTGGAGCTAAGACTGAATACGTTTCAGCATAGATGGCCACCACAAAATTGTACATTGGCTTCCGGCTGGCCTGGGCCAGGGCCAAGGCAGCGGGGGCCATTCCCTCACTGTTTCCAGGATGGCTTCGTGGGCCACATGAAACCACTTCGCGGGCCGCATCTGGCCCCCGGGCCTTGTGTTTGACATGTCTGTTTTAGTACAAATAAGTACAATTTTAGTACAAATAATTTTTTTAGTTCAAATAAGTATATTCATGAATTAATTCTGATATGCAAATACTTCTAGACAGTAATAGTGGGTTATATATAGTCTAACTCTACAGTAAAAAAAATTACTGAAGAAATGAAAATAGTTGTACGTAAGAATAGGCTTTTGATCATTTTAAAATATAGAAGTAAGAGTATAATAGGAAAAACATAAAAGTAAGTTGAATACATTGAAAATTAATTAAATTGAACAAAAGGAATAAAACCAAGATAGAATGGGTATTAAATAAATTTATATTAAATATAAGTTACCAGTATAAAATAAATGCATTGAGGTAAACTTACATAACAGAAATAATGAGTTATGGCTGAATTGATAAATAAATGGAGGGATAAATGAGTTGGGAAGAATGGCAGTCCAAAAAGCTTGAGGATTAATTTAATTGGATTAATTTAATGAGAACTTCAAAAAGGGAGAAATGAATGTTTTAAAGAAAAGGTAGTGTATGAATCACTATATATATATATATATGACTCAACATATATACTTTGGCTACTTTTCAAGGTTGGAAAAATATGAAGAAGTATAGTAACTGGTGCAATTGTAAACTAAATGTAATTATATAAATCCTTTTTTTGAATCTATATTTAATTATTTTGCACTCTGTGCGTGTGTGTGCATACTACATTAGGGCTACATAAAACATTCTATATATGTTGTCTGGTGCACAAAAGAGTTGGTTTAGGGTTGTCCATGAAAAACATTCATAAAGTTTAGTCTGTGTACAAAATAAAATGGGATATAGGGATCTTTTAAAAATGAAAGGGAGCTGCTAGTTCCTTGTGTAACTCTTTTAATATTAGGGAAAATTTGTGTTACACCCATGTTATAGAGTGCCCCCCTCCCCCTTTTGTCATGTAGATATCAGCGGCTGCAGTGGCTAAGAGAAGTTGAGAAGGTGCTAGAAGGTGGACTATTGTGATAAGCCATATTGCAGACTGCATTGTCTTTGCTTCTAGATGCTTAGTTTTACTCAGTTAAGAATTCTGTATACATTACTTGTTTTCCACAGGACTCATTGTTCATTGTTTCCTTATTTAGCACTGAAGTTCTAGGCAAAGTAGTTTTCCATGTATGTATAATTATTTGCAAGATTGCACATTGGTGTCACAATTCAGATTTTCCCTATTTGATACAGTGCATTTATATAGGACTATTGCCATTATGAGTTATTTAAGCTCATACATTCAACTCCTACCCTCCATGCACCTAGCTTTCCAAGCAAATTGGAAGTTCCCAAACCATAATATGCTATTTGCAATTGCCAGTTAAAGAAAGGTGCATGTGATTATGAGGCTTCAATCAGAGAAGCTTCTGCCAATGATTTTACAAAAGACAAAAAAAAGAAGGAAGCAATACAGTGCCTATTTTGGGCACTGTAAATAGGGGACAAAAAGTGAGTACAAGTAATGACTTCTAATCCTTATTGATTCTTATAGGCCAGTTTTCTAGTGTATATACATCACTTGGGGCAGAATAGCGTTATAAAATAAATTAATCCTCAGCAGATATCTGTACTGTATAATAGTAATGCAATTTTCAGATTAGAAGAGGTGCTTCACCCTTCCCATATAACTGATTCTTTCCAGTGGTTCCTTCACCAACATTTTTCTCCAGCTGGACCTATTTTCAGTCTCAAAGCCTACTTGGAGGAAGAGGGATAGGATTTGGCTGGAGATAAAATTTACAAGGAAAAAATAGGAGCTTGGGAAGGAGTGACCAATTTTTATTGTCCTCGAAATATCTTCATCCACCTTAAATTAGTTTTGTGTTGTCTCATACAAAATAAATCTGTATATTATTGTAATACATAATTTTGCATTGGATAAAATGTATATCTGGGTAATTGGATGAATTTCCCATTAAACGTTGTGCTACATGTGTGGATTGCATAGTACTGTCTTCTTTAGTCTGATGTGTAAGGCAACTTTGCTGTCATCACTTCAACAGAAGTGGTCAATAGGTCTCAGGAGATAATGAGAATTACATTGTAGCACATATGGAAATGCCACATTGGGAAAGGTTACTACTAAATTTAGAAGTAGATTTGCAAATTAGGTTAGAGAACTATTTAATAATTCAACTTTTTCTTCCTTATAGGCATACGAGGAATACACCAGCAAGTTAGATGCATTACAACAGAGAGAGCAACAGTTGTTGGAATCAATGGGAAATGGAACTGATTTCTCGGTCTCCAGTTCTGCCTCAACAGAAACAGTTACTTCATCTTCTTCTTCTAGTCTTTCTGTAGCACCTTCATCTCTCTCTGTGTATCAGAATCCTATAGATTTATCACGGAGTAACCCTAAATCTCCTCAGAAGCCTACTGTTAGAGTTTTCCTACCCAACAAACAGAGGACTGTGGTAAGACCTAAACAGCTGTCAATATTTCTCTTTCTAATATTGCCAAATAAGGAAAGTATTGTACAGAAAAAAATCCCAAATATTGTACAGGATTAGAAATGCAAATAAAGGGCTGGAATACATTATTGGTGGTAGCTTGGCAAAAATTTGTGAAAATGGGGTAACATTAATAACTTCTATTTTGTATAGTATATGTAGGCTTTTTTCATTTTTTATTTAGTCATTTACTTGTTATCAACAATAGTGTTGTGCAGCATGTAGAATGGATGTATGTGACCCTACTCTTCATGCTCAAAGGGCTAAACTATAAAGTTCTTGTCACGTTCTGCTCCAGTTATGCTAAGGGGGGAAAAAAAGAGGTTGAGAAAGTTTGTTTGCATGCTCTCTTCTTTAACATCATCATACTTCCAATAGCTTGCCAGAGAGCTGGATGATAATGAGATTAAACTTCTCTGCCAAGCAATTAAAAATTAAATATATTCCATTCCTAGGACTCTTATATACATTAGAATAAATATGTATGTTGTTGATGCATTTGTGAATCTTTAAGAGTTCTGCAATCCAATATGGCTCACTAACCCCAAACTCCATCATGTGGGATTTTTTTAGAGAGTAGAACCATAGATAACCTTGAGCAAAACAACAGAGAGCCAGCTTGTGGGAAGAAGGGATTATAATATAATATATGTTGAGGGTACCACACTAGTGATATCTATGTTGGACTTGTAAGTATTAAATGGGAAATGGTTTTGATACGCAGCAATGACATCATGCCCAGTGATAATCCTATCCCCCTTTCTAATAATTTCTTGCACACACTTAGGCTTGTTACCAAGGAGACATGAAGACTAGGAACAAGGGAGAGGAATTAAGAGAGATTGAAGTTTCTTTTCTCAGTGGGAAGGACAGGCTACACTAAAAATATGAGATGACAGGATCTGAAACAGGAATTACCAGGAGTGCACATAATTACCAGGAGTACACATAATTAAAGGGGGTGGGTATAGAAACTGTGTCATTTTAGGAATGAGAAAATTAAGCATAATAGCACAAAATAGAAAGGGACTGCAAAAGGAATATTAAATGTAAAGGCAATTATTCAAAACTCAAATTTCAATTTAGCACAGTCTAGTAATAGAAGCACCTTTTACCTCTAGTTCATTTCAGTGGGAGAATTGAGCAATGTTTAACTCTTTCCATGAAGCCAGAATAACTTAGCAGTACTTGACTGTACTACAGTCCTATTCAAATGTAGCATCCACCAAATTTAGTGAGATTGAATTTCAGATATGCAATATAATTTTAATTGGATTTGTATCTGTTGTATTTAATTCTCAATTGTTTTAGTCTATTATTATAGTTTTAATATGTCTCATTTTATATCATGTGCATGTTAAATTTTGATCTGTTTTTGGGAAGGGTAGATATAGTGCTATATTTTACAATAAAGGTTGGGGTTTGGTTTTTTTACAACTCCTTAATAACTTAACCTGGATTTTAAAATGGTTTTAAAATATTACATTATATTAGAAGGGAGAGTAATAACGTTACAGAGTGGTTTTGCTGTCTAACTTAATTTTTTTTTACATCAAACTTCTAAGTAGTTAAGTATCTAGAGAAGCAATCAAATGAACTAAAGCTGTTCTCCAGTATTTGGGAATTATGCTCCAAATTCCTTAGTATGAGAATTGATCCCATACATTTCTAATGTTATGCTTTCAAGTAGTAATTTTACTGCTTGAAAACCAAAACTGAGGTTCTCCATTTAGGATTAAGAACTTCTGAAAATGACAAAACAGTTCTCAAAAAACTGATATATATTCAGGTATATGATGTGTATACTTTGTGATGCAATAGTTGTTTTTCCAGATTAAAATTTGTTTCTTCCCATTACTAGTATCTAAAATAAAAGCTAAGGAGGGAAGATGTGCCAAAAGTAATTACTAAGAAGGGTATTTTGCAATTGCAGTGCACAATCAATTTCTTGAACATTAGAAAATTGTCTATGCAGCATACTGTTAGTACTGTCTTCTGCAATACTCTGCATATACCATTGCTGTTCCCAGCGCAGGATTCTTCTCTTGTCCCCTAGAAGGAGGCAATATATAGTAGCAGCTATGATGGCATGTAGTAAGGAGGTGGATTCCCAGGAGGAGGAGATGCCCTCCAGAAAAGTAAGAGGCAACTCAGTCTAGATGTTATGTGTTAGAGAAAGAGGGTAAATAGTTCACAGAGTATATTATACATCAGGGAGCTGAAGTCCACAAGTCTTAAAAGTTGTCAAGGTTGCATACCCCTGTTATAGATGCTGGTAGTAGAGTGCTCAGTCTGGCAAGATTCATTCCATTGGTGTGAAACAATAAAGAGGTCCACTTGGAAGAATCACTATGTGCATTTCTTGGCTTAGGGCCTGACAGTAGCAGAATGATGTACTAGTAGGAAAGATGTAAACAGTAGGGCAGGCAGACTGAGGGGTAAGTGGTTCTAGGAAACTTACTTTTAAAAAATAAAATAAAAAATGTTTTGTTTTCAGTAGCTTTGTATTGGAATCTCAGCTGTTAAGATTTCAATACTTGTAAGTTAAGTTTTGCATGTAGATGGGTATGAGGTCTATATAGCCAACATACCTCAGAGGAATTTATGTCTGGAACAAGTGATTGAAACTACAACAGCAGGACAGTATTGTTAGCTTTTCTTCTCCTTTTATCTTCTGAATATCCTGTTCAAAGGGTAGAAATCTCAGTCTTCATAATTATGTAAATAAGTATACAGTATACAAAATTTAAGTCCTAACAGGCAATATACTCTGATTCATAAATGTGCAGCCTAGAAATCTCTTGATTGTCCCATTGCTGCAAATGGGCCTTTAGAGATAAAAAAAATTCTGGTAAAGCATTAAAGATAAAATGTTTACAATTTGTCCTTCAGTTTAGATTAATGAAGGACTAGATCCAGAATATTAATAAAAATCCAGGTGGATAGGGAAAGATCCTCTCTCAGATTTTAGAAGCCATCTTCCTTTCATGTTATGCTCTGTATTTTATATCTTTTACAACAATGTGGCCATTTAGATATTTTATTCATACTATTTGTATATTCATGTGCATGTGTGTTATTATAGTATTATTTCCTTGTAGCGAATAGTTGAAAATTTGAGCAAAAGAGTTTGGAATTTTAAAAGTTAAGGAAACTATTCAAAGAAAAATAATATTTTGAACAGGTATAGAAGAATAAAAAGATTATTGCTACAGTTACATAAAATTATTTTCTTTCCTCACATTCTCAACAGGTAACTAAACAATTTTTATTATAAACTGGCAAATGCCTGTTCACAACAAAATTTTGCAAAGTTTTCAGATTAACATATTTTCTCCTGCATTTATTTTGTCTCATGAGTTCAGTCAAATGTATGTAGAACTGACATCTGAATACAAGTATGTTCCGTTTTCCTCAAGAATAAGACTCTTGTTTAGTCCTTAATTCTATTCAGAATCACCCAGCTGGTTTTTTTCTTGAATAAATAAAATAGCTTCAGAACAAATATATGTAAATAGTGATAATGACAGTGGGTTTGTTTTGTTTTGCTTTGTTTTGTTTGCAAAATGGTTTACAGGATGATGGTTTCTAGTTATTTTGTGTTCCAGCAGAACTGAAGAAAAATGCATCGTAAGACAATTAATATTGTAGCGCTACCTCTTTAGAGGCCGCCAATGCCCAGGCCCTCCCAGCCACAACCCCCCTTGTCCAGCCTTGCGGTAATGTTCTTTAGAGATCGGTGAGATGTCTTACAACCGGAACTCATGCAGCATTGATGGGTGGCAGGCTCTTCTTGTTGAAGCAGGACTTTCAGGCACGAACTTAACCGGTCTCAATGGTTGATG